CAAGGGTTGTTGTTCTTCTAAGGGGCTGCAAAAGTGCACAGTCGTGCCTACCGTCCCTGTCCTATCGTCCCCATTTATTCGTACACGTTTCCTGTATTCCTACTCACGTTTATACTTATACCTATTATCTTGTAAGCGATTGACAAATCAAATAAAAAATAGACAAGACAAAAGTATACTTTATTTGAAAATTGTAATGCTACAGCCACCTATTATAAATCACAACATACAAAGTGAGCCTCCTTAAAGCAAATGTTTGAACTGTGGAAAAGAATTTATCGGGACATTATCATTGAATAACAATTAGCAGATCAAAGAAGATTCATTACCAAAAATAAATTATTCGGGGATGCAAAACTGGAAGAGATTCAAAAAAAAAGAAAAAAAAGAAAATGGAAACCCAGTATAATAGAACAGTAGAAAAAACTTGAGAAACACTAAAAGCATTTTTAGTGTTACAGATAGAGCAGTGGAATTTGGCCTGGAGAAAAGTGCTGCAGTAGCAATAAGCCAGGGTAAACGCATAAACAGTAATGAAATTGAAATTCAAATGGCTAAACTATCAGGAGGAAGCCTACAAGTATCGGGGAACTTCACAGTTGGATAACGTCAAGTGTGGGCAAGTTAAAGATTAAATACAAGCAGTAGTTCCCTGCTGTTTGCACATTCAAACATCGCTAGTGATTTTGATTCACGTTTAATGCCTCCACAAATATTTCAAGCTTAGCTATTTGAAATTATATCCATTTCTGGAATTTTTCTGGTGGCACTTTTGGAAGAAAACAATTAGCAAAACCAGAGCATCTGACCATAGGACCACTGCAATGGTTGTAAGGGCAAGGACTATAAGGATTGTAAAGTTACTTTTACAATTTTCAGAGTCATTAACTGAAGACTACCTGTATAACATATGAGAAATAAGTACAATCACCGTCATTCTGCAATCTCAGATTTGCACAGGGGAATTCTTCTATCATTGGAATTCTGCAGTTTTCTTCAGTGGAGGCAGCAGATCTGTATGGATACATTGGCAACTTTAAATTGTCTGGACTCCAGCTCTCAGAGTTTCCAAGCCAGCATGCTTTAGAAACTTTTAGAATCCTCTCTGGTCTCAGAAATCTATAGACGAAGTCAGAAGAAGAATGAATTTTCGTGTAAACTATAGAGTCACTTGACAGTGTACAATGGGCCTAGGACAGAGGTGACAGATTAACAGTGAGATCTGATAGCAATCTCAGAGCAATGGATAGAGAATCAGAGTTCTCTATTGTAATTTACATTCTGTAAGCCACCTCGAGTCACCATGAATGAATAGGCGGGAATATAAATTAAATAAATAAATAAATAAACTGCCTATTATAACTGCTCAGTTAGCTATAATATAAAATTATTTGTGGGTATAACTTGAGTATCATAAGCAGATGAAGCTAATACCCCAAAACTTAACATGTGAACATTTTAGCATACATTTGGCTAGATGGTGCTTGGGGTATTTATATAGTAGATAAATATTTAGCTAGCTAATAAGCAAATTGAATCTAGATAAATGTCTAGTGGCTGTGCTGCGCTGTGCTGTGCTTTGGATCATAGGTCTGTTTATATCTGCACCAACACAGAAGTGATTTGGTAGATACTTTAAAAAATCTGAAGCTACTGTTCTTTGCTTTTATTGGGAAAATGTTAAATGATCAGATATTTTCATGGGACTTTACTGAAATGTAGAAAAAATAGAAAATATAATTTTTACCTCTTTTTCTAGCAAGGGTGAAATAGTTGCATTACTGTAATTTAAAATAAGGGGAACTAACAATCTTGAGAAAAACAAAAAAGCAGACATACAAGAAATAGAGAGTTGTTTGTTCTAACATCTAAGGTTAGTTTTAGTATTTTCTTACTGGTAACTTTTTTGAAATAGTTCCCTAAATGAAACTATATCTGCTTTTTCCAGAAGTAGGAGAGAGTATTCTATTAACTTCAGCTGAAAGAAATTGGTCAATTTGATGTTAGTTTTTATCAAGACTTTTGAATAAGAAGCTTGAATGGTAAATCAGTGGAAGATTGCATTACACAATATGAAATCCATTTTGTATTTTGTTAAACTGAGGTTAATATGCAAAAAAAGAGTTTGTATATAATTTAGACTACGTTTAATATTGGTTGGTTGTAATCAAATGGCTGCTGAAGATCAATATGGTTTAGTCTTATCCTGTTATAGTTGTGTTTGGGCTGGTATCAGCAGAGTTATTAATCAGTGGTGGGTTTCAAATTTTTTTACTACTGGTTCTGTGGGTGTGGCTTGGTGGGCGTGGCTATGTGGTCATGTGACCGGGTGGTCATGTGACGAGGGGTTTTCAAAGACAGAAACTCACTTTCTGGAACGGGCGTTGGACTAGATGACCTCCAGGTACTTTCCAGCCCTGGAGTGCTGTGCTCTTTCAAAGCATCCTCTGAAGTTGCATCTAGTGCCAAGGTTTGTGGTCCTTCCTTCCTCTCTTTTTCCCCTCCCACCTTTCTTTTTTTCTTTCTTTTTCTTTTTTCCTTTCTCTTTCTTTTTCTTTCTCCCATTCTTCCCTTTTTTTCTCCCATTCCTCCCTCTTTCTTTCTCTTTCTGTTTTTCTTTTGCATACCCCTGCACCCTGTTTTTGGCCTAGTGGGCCTCGGGGAAGCCTCCTGGGAGCAAAAATGGGGCATGGGGAGGCGTGCAGCACTCCCCCCAGTGCCCCATTTTTGGCCTAGTGGGCCTCAGGGAAGCCTCCTGGGAACAGAAAAAAAAGCCTTTTGAAGCGGGGGGGGGGGGAGAAATCAGCTGTGCCGCGCAATTTAGATTAGCTAGAAAGCAAGAAATCTGATGATTTCCTGCTTTCTAGCCAATCTAAATCGCGCGGCACAGCTGATTGTTGCTTAGCTGATCGTCAGAAATACTGGTTCGGCTGAACCAGTAGCATTTTTTACTACCGGTTCAGCCGAACGGGCTGAACCTGTAGAATACTACTACTGGTTACTAATATTGTTCAAGATGATTGGTACTCTATCAAGAACTATGGATTGTTTAGGTATAGGAATTGGCTAAAAAGTATTATATTATTCTGGAAAGCTATACAGATAATACTCGACTTACAACGATAATAGATTGTAAGTTGGGAGGGTCATAAAGCCACATGATCTACCTGCTTTTACGATATTTTTTGTGGTGATCTTTTGCAATTGTTAAGTGAACCAATAGTTACAAGGGATCAGTTTTGCCAAAAGCTGGAAATAAATGCCAAAAATGATATAAAACACAATCATGTGACTGTGGGGCATTGCATTGACAAGCACCCAACACGACGACTGCAGGAGGGAGGCATCAGAACTTCAGAACTAGATCATAAGTACATCCAGTCTGTAGTAACATTAAATGGTTGCCATAAGTCAAGTACTATCTGTACCTGATCTGCAGTAAGAGTTTGCTAATACAATTGATCAGAATAGAGTTGGAAGTGACATTGGAGGTCTTCTAATCCAGCCCCCGATCAAGCAGGAGACCCTATACCATTTCAGTCAAGTGACTGTCCAGTCTCTTCTTAAAAACCTTCAATGATGAAGCATCTACAATTTCTGAAGGCAAGTTGATCCACTAGTTAATTGTCCTCACTGTTAGCAAGTTTCTCCTTAATTCCAGGTTGCTTCTCTCCTTGATTAGTTTCCATCCATTGTTTCTTGTCCTGCTTTTGGTGCTTGGAGAATAAATTGGCCCCCTCCTCTTTGTGGAAGCCTCTCAAATACTGGAATGGGCTATCATGTCGCTCCTAGTCCTTCTTTTCTCTGGACTAGCCAAATGCAAATCCTGCAACCATTTTTCATACGTTTTAATCTCCAGGCCTTTAATCATTTTAGCTGTTGTTCTTTGCACTTTTTCCAAAGTCTCAATAGCTTGTCACATTGAAATTAAGTGCCTTTGTTTGTCTGTTTTAGAAGGTACAGGAAAAAAAAAGCCTTTTGAAAAATCATTGTTTTTGGAGCTCTATTTATAATTCTTAATTTATCTTTTTATTATGAATTTTGTTGGTGTGTGTCTCTGTGTCGTGATTCTTTAACAATTTTGCATGCATTCATACATTTTTATAATTTGTACTTAAAAATTTAAAATAACTCTCAACATGAATAAGTTTTAAATTAATTGTTTGAATTACTTTTGTCCAATTTATTCTCCAGGTATATACCAAATAGTTAACCTTTTCAACAATCCTTAGTGTGCAGGAAAATATGCAAAACAGCAAGCGGGAATAATCATCTAGCAATAACAAATATTCGAACAGTTACTAATTAAAATAGGAAGTAACTAATTCTCATGGACTTCTTAATAACTTTTTGCAAAGAAGTTAAAGAGTGATGCAGCATTTCTTGGAAGGAGGTTTCAGAATTTAATCATATCTTTCCATGGTGGCAACCAATCTACCTCAAAATTGCTTGCACATTAGGAGGGGTCTCTCAAAGATCACCTCAAGAAACAGGCAGTTTTATCAAAGAGATTAAATATGAAGTTTTTGTCATTTGCTCATTCTCACAAGCAGAAAAGGAGATCAAATAAATATGAGTTTGTGCAAGCATTGTCACTTAGCTAGTTATAGCCTGAGTGATTGTAATTTGAGTAGTTTCTCCCAGAGTGCTGGGTAATTAAGCTGTAACAACTGCAGTGAACATCAGAGAGACAATAAAGAGATAGAGCTTCCAAAACGTCTTTTGCAATAACAACACAAAATTCAGATGGGACAAACATAAGTCTGGAAGTTGAGATCCAACAGGAATTTTAGAAAGATATTGCTTAGGGAGTGTATTGGAATGTGGCAGAGAGTCTTTTAGAAACTCTTCATGTTCAGGTCCATCTGGTTTGTGGGTCATACAGATTTTTGAAGCTCTTCCACGTTTTCACTCCTCGGCTTTCTGCTGCTTCAGTCTCCCTCTGGTGAAGCTTTTCTATATTAGTGTCAAGGTCATGTGACCCGGTCAGCCAATTGCAACACAGCAGGAGGAATGGAAACTTCTTTCTGAGATGAAAGTAAGTCAGAATAGCTCAGCCTTTTCATGTTCCGCTGTTCGGGTTCACGGCTCCTCAGACTTATATTTTTATGACTTGCCTGGCTTTTATTAGGCTAAACACAGCTCGTGGTGCTCAGAAGAAGACTTACCTGGTTTCTTTTAAAAATAGTTTTATTGTAATGTCACTTTTCCTTATAATCTTCCTTGTGCATTTGCAATTTGGCTGATTGGGTTTTTTTTTTAGAGGAATGAGATTCAGAAGCTGGGATTTACAGAGAAATGCCAGTTTTAACAATCTTCCTCCAATTATCTGGTCTAAGAGCTTGACAATTGTCACTTGCCGAGCATTTGTGTGACAGGCACTCCCACCTCTTCTCTACCTTAAGAGCAAGAGAGGAAATGGTTATCATAAACATCCCATGATCCAGTCTTAGCCAATTGCACATAAAGTTGGAATCAGGATTATTTGCTAAAGTTGACAACATGTTATTCCTCAGTGGCTTCAAAATTCTGGCCTTAAATTATTAGCACATTTAATTTAAGAGAAACATAAACAATATCAGATCTGAAAATGATGTAGCTTTTGTGCTTATATAATAGATATCCTGTTTCTCCAACAATACGGCCTCCCCCAGTAGGAAGTCCCAGCATGTTTTATAGGCATGAAATGAAATTAAGCCCCTTCCCCCAAATTAAGGCCTATATTAAAACATGCAAAATGGGGGGAATGGTGGGGGGGGGGGCTTGTCATTAGGAAGTACTTTTGTTGCACACCCGGATATGGTGCTGCCTGCGTTGACCCCAATACGAAGTGCCCCACCAACGCCGAGGTCAACATCCAAGCCGTTGCCGCCCGCCCGAAGATGCAAGGGGGGGAAATTAAGTCACTCCCAAAAAGACGGCCTAGTCATTTTTTCGGGGCTCAAAAAAAAAATAAGACCCAGCCTTATTATATGAGAAACATGGTAGATAGATAGATAGATAGATAGATAGATAGATAGATAGATAGATAGATAGATAGATAGATAGATAGATCAGGAATAAAAAAATATAAAATTTGCCTAAAGCAAACAATGAATGAAGACGATATCTTATTCTGGTGTGTGTGTGTGTGTGTGTGTGTGTGTGTGTGTGTGGTGTGGGAGTTCCTCCCTATTTGTCCTGATATATTCTCAAATTGATTTGATGATCTTCTACTGTTCATATGTTTTTTTTGTATGAAAAGCAATCACATCTCTTTTTGGTAAACACTGGTCTTTTGAAATGACATATCTGTCCAAATAGATTTCCTTGCATTTAGCTATTTTTTTCCTTCACTAAATCATATTGATGCTATTAGCTTTCAAGTGCAACTGAGTATTTCTGAATCCCAAATTGGAAACAGATAATGTAATATATTTTATTGGACTGTTTTCTTTGCGAAGCAATAAAAAAGTTTATAAGCTTACAGAGATATTGCCTTTAGCAAAAATAAAAAGTGGCTAAGTCTATAAAAAAGAAATTGTTTGAAACATTCCAATCAGAGTTAGTATTCAGCGGTTTCTGACCAGTTCTGGAGAACCGGTAGCGGAAATTTTGAAAAGTTTGGAGAATCAGCCAATACCACCTCTGACTGGCCCTGCCCCCATCTATTCTCTGCCTCCCGAGTCCCGGCTGATTGGCTGGGTCTTCTTTTGTTGCCCTGCACAGGAGAACAGAGCTGGAAAGCAGGTTAGTGGGATGGGGAGGTTACTGATTCTGCAGTAACCTTTCCCCAGGAATGGGGATTTAACAGTATCCTTCCCCTGCCATACCCACCAAGCCACCCACCAAGCCATGCCACACACACCAAGCTACGCCCACAGAACCGGTAGTAATTTTTTTAATCCCATGACTGATTCCAATATTTCAATTGTTTCGGATAGAGGATACCATTTGCTCTGTAATGTTAGGCATTGATTGAATCACAAGATTAAGATAATACTATATTAATATCTGAGATGATTACGGAGGCCTCTATAGTTGCAACTGCAACAGATGTTTCTATTTACCATCATTCAGCAAATAGTGCACAAGACCCAGCAACCAGTAGACCATGCATGCCAATAAAAATGGCTTTTGTAGAATTACCAGATCCAGTTCAATGAAAGGTAACCCTTCTTTTAAGGAGGGGGGGGCGGGGGGGGCGTTTCCCTAAACAGCAAGTCTGGGGCAACATAAAAAAAGGCAACAAAGTTTTCTTGGTTAAAATAACTCTAAAGCTTGGGTGGGACAGCTTGTTTTGGGATTCTCTATTACTTTTTATTATACCTTAATATTAGCAAGAACTACAGTATCTGCTAATATACTTCAGGGATGCCAATGTCTTGGACTGGCCCTGGTCTTTAAAATACAAAGAGGCAGAGGAAACAAGGAAATACAGCATTCCCTGTCTGGTGCAGATGTCAGGCTGCAGGAGGTTTTAAAAGACCGTTTCTAGTTTTAATGTTCCCGAGTATATGCAAAAACCAATAATATTGTCAAAGCCAAGTGGTAATTTCATAGCAGTCAGAATCTTTGGTATCCCGCATAATTACTTGTTTTGCTTTGTAACCGATGGGCAAAATCATTATGCCACCATGCCATGTATGTAAAATGATTTGCCTAACACCATAAAAGTGAGATTTCCTACCCCCTTGGTACAAAGGATGAGTTACTTTGATTCAGATTTTTTCTTTTGTTGTCATAGAGAGTCAATGTAGAATTCAGTTGTAGCAAATGCAGTTATAAAATGTGTTAAACCTTGATTTGAATTGTTGTTTTTTGTTAATCCATGGTGCAGTTGGCAAAGTACATATATTGTTGTAACCAAGCATGCATTGTTCCCTTGGTGCACCAACACTGGGTAATGGAATCCATCCATTTTGCTGCTGGACATTTATCTTTTTTCTTCTATTTCTTCCAGTATTATGAGGCCAAATAATTAGGATCATTTGAGTCTGATCATTTGTACTTGAGTGAGAACTTTATATTGATCTGTTTGATGATCCATCTGTTGGTTTTCTTGGCTATCCATGGTATTCTTAAGAGTTTTCTTCAACACCTATTCAAAACCATCAGTAGTCTTTCTATCCTGTTTCTTCAAAGTCCATTTTTACTTCCAAAAAATGTCACAGCAAAAACCATCCTGAACTTTTTAAGCATAGACATATCTCAGCATCTGAGTATCTTTTTTGATCCAAAAAGGCAGAAGCTTCAGTATCTTCACTGTCAACACTTTTTAAATAACATTTTTATTAAAAGTGTTAGTCATAATAATAAATGATAACACAAAGTAAAGAAAAAAGAAAAAGAGAAACAAATTAAAAGATGCAAGAAAGAAAAAATAGGGGAAAAAACCCCAAGAAAGTGACTTTCCATTCTCCTCCTTACAAATATAAACAATTTCACTATCTCTTTACCTCTTTTTCATTAACACATATAAAATTATTTATCCTATAACTCAACTCTTAATTATGCGGGTAGTCCTCCATTTATGACCAGTTACTTAGTGTCCATTTGAAGTCATGACAGAAATCCCTGGGGATAGTTACGATTTGGATTTGAAGTTCCAACTGGCAACTGGCTAGCATTTACGGCTGCTTGAGGCATCGTACGGTCATGTGACTGTGTTTTATGGTGTTTTTGCCCAAATCTGGCATTTATTTATTTATTTGGTTTGCTTAATGACTGCAGAATTTGCTTAATGACCATGGTTATTATCTAATGACTGCCACAAAAAAAGTTGTAAAATCGGATCGGTCACATGGATGATCTAATTAACAATTGTCACAATTTACAAATGCAATGGGAAGATTCCATTATGGTTGTAACTCAGGTGCCACCTATTGACAAGTCCAATAAGTAATCCAGCAAAAAATCCATACTGAGTCCTAAAAATATAACATTAGTTAGTAAATATAAATCCCATCATCCCATATCTCAACTCTTAATGGTAAGCAAATCCAATGCACAAGGTTATTGTAAATTCTAAGGCTGGTTGTTATATCTGTTATCATCAGTTTGGTCCCTATAACTAAACTTAAACTTAGTCCCATTTTGTTCCTGATGTTTTTCTTGAAATTGGTAGGTACATGGCCAAGATCATATCATGAAAGCTGATTGGCTTTCTTCTTCCACTTTAGTCTAACTTGTACATTGCACATGAATATTTGATCTTTTCTGTAATCATCAGCCCCTGGCCAATTGTCTGTATATATAATTGATACACTGTCTACAAACCTAACTGATACTATTCAATCATTGATGGCATTCTAGCCAATGCGATTCTGGAATATATTCTTCCAGACTATGAAAGTAACACTCGTCCTTCGTTTTCCTCTCTGGAGTAGTAAAGAGTGTGGTCTTCTGACTGAACTCCAGTCCATTTCAATTTGTTCTATACCATCAATTATTTTGTCTTATCTATCTTTGTAGTTTTCTTGGTAAAATACAAAAATGATCTACCATTGCCATCCTCTATGCCAGGGGTAGGGAGACTTGGCTCTTTTAGCACTTATGGACTTCAACTCCCAGAATTCCTGAGTGAGCCATAAAAGGTTCCCCATCCCCGGCCTACTGGTTTTTCAATTGTGGGGGAAACCAATTTTTGACTTGAATGGGACTGTTTAATATACAAACATAGGACAAGTTATATGGGATGAGATGAAAGGAGCAGCAAAATCACATGAAGGCATAAATGCAAGAATGCATATGTGCACTGGCATACACACTGCCCCCCACAACAATTCGCTATCCCTCAATACATCCTCAAGATTCTAAAAGTGCTCACAACCCCAAAGGTCATGATACAAGATATTCAGGCCCTCAGCAAATATTTCATGAAATTCGATTAAGGTAGAAACCTGGAGAGAAGATTGAATCTGGATCTGCATTATTAGTTTTATATCATGCCTCGAGTTGTTGTAAATGTACAAGGCATGCTATACATTTTAAAAAATATTTTTCTAATTTGGCCTAGTAGATCGATCCTCTGGTTTGTAGAAAAAGATAAAAATATGT